CTCAGAGCTCGTCTGCCTGGCTGTGGGTTTCCTGGACAGAGCCGCCTTTTGTAGCTGCTTTTTGTATCTCTGCTACCGTCTCCTTGAACCCCAGTCAGCCTCGGCAGATGGCCGTTCACACTGAGCCTGGTTCTGCTGGAGGTTTCTTCCTGTTAATAGGGAGATTTTCCTCTCCACTGTCGCTACAAGTGTGCTTGGTGTGAGGGTTTGCTTTTGAGTCAATAAGTCGATGCAATCAACTGGTTTTCCTTAGATAGAAAACTTTATATCAATTTGACTGCATGATCTGGTTGAATTTTCTCTATAAAATGCTTTGAGATACCAGGTGTTGGAATTGGCGCTGAATTTAATTAAATTCCTGAGATTAAAATCAAAATTCTAAGAAAAGTCAGAATTATGATTTTTTTTTTCCATGTTAAACTGAAATAATATTTTAAAATCAGTTACCTTTTTTTATTTTTTCAGTGGCTCTAATCCTCTTCCATTACTTTTATTCAATACCTCTTGTTATAATTTTTATAATTTTTTTTTTTTTTTGTAAACCTAGGTTCACTTTATCATTTTACATTCTAGTTAAATACATTTGCTTGTATTTATCAATCATTTTCCACCACGTTGACGTGTGACGTAATCACGTCGCGTGGCGTTTGTTTTGTTTTTGTGTGCGGGGGGGCGCTGGAGGCACATATTGTGCGGAGTGTAAACATAGAGGAGATGGGAATGATTTTCACCTGGTAGTCGCGTCTTTCAGCGTAGATGCGGACGTGTGCAGAACTAGAAGGGTTTAATGCGCCGCTCTGACCCGCGGATTAATCTACCTTTGCCGTCTTAACTTGTAAAGCAGTTAGCACGCGCCTCCCTTGACAGGGGAAGGGGGGTCATTGTACCGTCACCCTCTCAAATTTCGTGTTTCTGTCTTCATAGTCGCTCCCCGGACGCTGTTTTGATGCCGTACGAACTCAGAAGTCGTCCGTAGAGAGTTAGGACACCGAGCAGAGTGTTTATTTTTGTCGAATAGCTGCTGTTGCTGCTCTTTGTCTCCGCGGAGGTGGCCCAGTTTAGCTAAACATCTCATTTTAACCGCTTCTTAATGGAGTTCTTTCTTTGTTAGCTAATACGGGATCTAATAAGCTTAGTCCTCGGGTCACAAAGACGGCCGTCGGGCGAAAAATGGTGTTAAGGAGCTACTGGAAATGTCGGCTTAAAGGCAGCTGTTCTCCTGGCTGGATGCGGCCAGGGCTGGTGGCTGTGTTCTGGTTCGGGGTGATCCAGCTGGTCTGCGGCGCTGGGGCGGTGGGAGAAGTTAAATTCGTGGTCCAAAAGGAGGCAGAGTTTGACATGACTTATAATGACACGGTTACAAGTGTAAACCAGACTATCTATTCCTTCAACCACACCATCTCCAGGAATAAGGTGATTTTTGCCTCTTTGTAGCATAATATCTTCTCTCAAGTGATGATTAATGTTTACTTTCTGTGATTTTCTTTTATTTTTCAGACAGAGGGGGTTCGTGTGACCGTGGATGTGATGCAGCAGCATCTGGAGAGTCCGATTCTGTTTGTTGTTCGGCAGAAACAAGCCGTGATGTCTTTCCAGCTCCCCCTCATCCTGAGAGGCCTGTGAGTCCCCCCCTCCCCTCCATTGTTACCTGAGGGTGTAACTGTGTGATAAAAGTTGGTGGGGAAGCTGTAAGGGTGGAGGCTGATGGACCTACAGCTACTCAATCCCAACCCTTTCAGTAGGGTTTATATTCTCCAAAAATGAGCTCAAATATTAGCCTGATGAACCAGACTAAATGTCAGATTAAATGTGTAATTTAAACTCGC